TAACCAATGAATTTTCAACAAGTACAAGCACAAGAAGTAGCTATATGTTGTAAATGTTGCACTTTTAAGGATACATCTTACATTGTTAGAAAAGTTGTGTTTTTATCTAGGAAGACTTATTGGTATTGGTTTGGCATTTTAGCTAACTTTATTTCATTTGCAGCTCAAAACTGAACTTTGTTTCATTTGCCACTAAATTGTCGTGAATTATTGTATTTAAAATGTCACATTGCTTTTTTCAGCACAGCTTCATATCATAAACATGTAAATTTATATGTCATTATACATGTATTTGTTAAGCAGTAGTGAATATGTCTACATATATTAAGAACTTTGTTCTGCAAGTTGTTTCCTTTATGTTAATACATGTATTATAATGTACATGTACTATATTTTTGGTGTTTTTCATATTGTAATAAAATTGTGCCATAACATATCACAAAATAATATTCATGACGACAGAACTAACCTATCTTTCCACTTATCTAACAAGACAGGGCATTTACACCCTAACACCAGGGGCTGATATTAGGCCCTATTGCAAATCAAAAATAACCTCTTTTTACCACAATTTAAAAAATCTGCACAACAGCCCAAACAGATCAAATTATTTCAACTTCTGAGGAAAATTGGGCTATTTAGACTAATAACTGGAAAATGCCATGCAATAGAGAAAAATTACTTATGAGAAATTGGTGATTCTACTCCAGTGCCTGCCTGTGCCGGAAATACCACATAGAGGAACACTTAGAATCTCCACCAGTAAGTTAACACCTGAGAGTTCCGATACATGACTGCTTAACACTGTCAATGTGACTTGAACACCAAAAATTAAGAAACATATTTGTTTTGCTTACATTTAATAATGTGTAAGTGATGTACCCAGGGTTTGTTTTTTTTTATCTGAGGCAACAGCTGTGCAAATAAAAACAGCCAATTTGGCCAAGGGTCAAGGGGATATTTTAACCTACAGGCTGAAAATACAATGGTTTTTGACAGCATTTCAACCAATGATATGGATCGCCTATCATTTTTCAATGAAAACCCTGTGTACCTGAAATATTCAGAGCCCTCGTTACTAACAAGAAACCACCCATTATTGTTACGGGTATCTATAACTGTGCATTAACTTAGAGAGAACATAAAGAAAAGCTTGTGTTGTATTTATTGATCATTGAATTCTAAAAATCCATCTTAATATAATGTATATTTAAAATTTTACCAAATAAAGATATTGTGCTTGTGAAAGATTTGTGTTTCATGTTTTTCCTATATATCTAGCTTACAGTATTCCAAATCTCCCCTTGTGGCTTAAGTTTTTCCTTGATGGGTTGAGACATAAGAATTGCAGCCACCGTTTAGCCTGCATAATCATAAGAGGCGACTAAATGGGTTGAATTACTGGAGTCTAAGCATCTCTTAGCTGAAGCAGTTGAGGTGGTTTTGACCCCTGTGATGCTTAAAGTTTGTAATACCCAATGAGCCAAAATCATCTTTCCTTTTTCGACGCTACATGACCGAAATTGTGTTGGCACACTGTAACACCAAACAAAACACACCAAAAACAAGTTAGTTATCCTTACTTTTTACGTTTATGTCTACTTGTGTAAAACTTCAATGCCCAGAGCTTAGATATTTGCCATGTAGAATGGCCTTGTGGACCTTTACAAAAGTTCTACCAGCCATACTTCTGTGCTTAGTCTACAGTAGCTATTACTGTGACTTTTTCAAGTTGGGCGATAACAAATTTAGGCAAGGCAGTCACATTCAGGTTAGGCAGAAACACTAGTTCGGCAAGTGCAAATATAGTCTGGGCAGGCAATTACATTCTGGTTAGGCAGAAACACTTAAGTTAGGCAAGAGCTATTGAAGTCTGGGCAATGACAAATTTAGATTGTTGAGAAAAACATTCAAGATGGACAAAAACACGTTCAATTGAGCATTGACACATTCAACTAGTGAATAACACACAGGGTCATTATTAAGTATTATTTCATGCTTTCCAGTGTTTTATTGTAATATATCAGATGATAATATTCCGATAAACCACTAGTGAAATTTATAAAATATAATTTTCACTGTAGCCGAACTATATCTGAATGCGGATGAAAAGAAAATCATAACTAAATGGAATAACGGGCAGAAATAAATGCCGTCATGCGTAAATTTTGCTTCTTTAGGAAAAGAAAATCGATGTCACCATACATCATGTTAAAAACGTAAAAAAGTTAGGGGAATTTAACAGAACTATATTTCAAAATTGATGATGTGATGTCATGATGTGATGACGTCAAAAAGGAGAACGCGCAACGTTACGCGGCAAAATCAGTAAAAAATACTTAAAATCACTTAAAAATCATGAAATAAAAAGAAAATTTATTTGTTTTACATATAAGATTGAAATATATTTCATTCGTGAACACCAGCTATTATATTTTCACTCATGGGCCGGGCCATTATTGGCTACGCCACTCGTGAAAATATTGCATCTGGTGTTCACTCAGTGAAATTATATTTCAATCTTACATGCAAAACAAACAAATATCCTCTATTTTTCTGAGACAGTCTGTTTTTAAGGCAATAATCTTTGGTCTAATCACATACAAAAGAAAGTGTTTTCTAGATTAGAGGTAGCCCAAAAAGCATTTTTAGAGTAGTTTTGATCTACAGCCGCCTTCTAATGACAACCCTGTAAAAAATTTCAGGTTTGGAAATAACACTCTTACGTAATTGGGGAAAAATTTATTCAAGTTGAACAACAACACAATAACATGTGTGGTGATGATAGCCCAAGCTTTTATTTAGCAAAATTATCTTTACAACTTGATTTATTAATTGAATATGCAAAACAGAGGTACATGTATAAAATCTTCTTAATTTAACCATGTAATGGAGCATTAGATGCAGAACATGAATTTGTACCATTAGTTTTCTAAACCCACCTTACATAAACATTTGCTTACATTATAAATATATCTGAATATGTAGTGGCTTCAATAGGGTCTTAAAAAATGTTTACAAAGTTTTGTAAATGTTGACTGAACCTGATGCCTGTCTTTTAAAAGAATTAGAATCCATGAGAGGGTATACGGTACATAATTAGAATATTATTTTTTTTACAATTCAAAAATACAGTCAGTATGTAAATTAGAAGTTCATTTTAATAATTTACAGTACAGTACATAAATTAAAAATTCATTTCACCATTTTAAAATATGTTATTTATTTTGCATTCCTCTCATGTCACATTTCTTTAACAGGGCTCTTTGATTTATTATATTTTTGTATGTTAATTGATAGTGTTCAACTTCAAAGAGTCGTCCCCCTTTTTCTGCATTGGTGTCAACTTGCTAAAATTATAACATATTAAAATATCCAGTCATTGTTTTTCAAGTTTTTCTTGCTTTTCTACTTCTCTTATTCAACTTCTTGTCAGATTCTCTTTTAGTGGCAACTTCAGTCCATTTCTGTTTCTTCTTTTCAACAGTAACCTCATCATTGCCTTCCAAGCTCTTCCTTTTCTGTTGTCTTTTTCCAGACTTTGCAACTACTTTCTTACTCCTTTTTGTCTGAACAGTGTCATCTTTTTCGACATCATCATCATCTTCTGAATTATCTGAGTCATGAACTTCAACATCATTTTCATCAATATCTTTACCTTCTGCTGCATCTAATTCTTCATTTTTGTCTTCCATGATTTCTGCAGCAACTTGTGCCACTTTAAGACCTTCTTGACTTCCCTCGACATTTTCAGAACCCTCTGGTTCTCCTTGTGTTTTTTTAGGCTTTTCTTTACCTCCTTGCTTATTTTTCTTATCTTTAAGGACAATAACCTGACCATCCCCTCGAACCATTACCTTGCCACCTTCTACTGTAGTTATCTCGTCTACAAATTCGGCAACTTTGTTCTCTTTCACTGCTGGAAGTTTCACCTTATTTGCCGACTCTGTAACAAAACATTGTTATTTTTAAACTCTCAGATTGTAATGTTGATGCTTTTGCTTATATGTAATGCAAAACTTTGAGATAAGTGTTGGTTTGTTGATAAGGCATCTGACGTATTTAATAAATCCTTCTACTTAAGATTGTTTTTTTAATAACTCTGACAGGATCTTTTCTTTCCTGGTTTTATTAATCATTTTATGTGAAAATATTGCCTCCTTATTCGAGCATCGGTCAAAATCATGATCACACACCAGCAAACAAACATTTTTTAAGAAATGACTTACAATGAAAATATCAAATATCTATTTTTAAACTTTAAAGCATTATGAACTTAAATTATTCACATTGACTTTAATGACCTTTCATCTAAAAACCTTTAAAAGAACATATTTTACAACATTACAGTAACTGTGTAAGTTGACAGTGGACCTCTTAAAATGGGCAATACTGTTGACAGGGGACATCTTAATAAAGGCAATAACATTAACTTGGGACGTCTTAAAAAGGGGGATATTGACTGATTAAAATAAGAAAACATGATGACTGCCTTTAGTTCAAAGTTTTCTACATCATGATTCCTTTGTTGGGAGTTGATCTTTAGTAAAGGTTCTACTATAACAGAAGACCCTTATTATTTGAAAGTGAAACAGAATGTGAATCATATAATTACCAGTATCTAAGTATATTGGTACAGATGCTGTGTCCGTACTCTTGATGTACATGTTACGTATGTTACTCTTGCCACCAGGTACCTGCTCCATTAACTGTTTACACGCTGCTTCAACATTTCCTACTATCTGTTCCTTCTTCATCTTATCATGGGCAACTGTTACTAAACTAAAACAAACAACAATATGATCAAATAAGTTGATATAAATGTTTACATGTCAGTTAAAATAAGTAGAGCTAAGGCTAATGCCAGCAATATGGTGCATGACAAAACTTTAACCAGACTTAATATGTCAATTGTTTACAATGAATGTATTTCTTTGTGTTTATGAAAATCCAGAAATCCACACCATTTCCTCTTTCTTTTTGCTTGGTTTTAAGTCAAACCAACACATACATGACTGTATTATGAGGACTTACAAGCTTAAGTAGAGGAGAAAGACCACTGGTTCCCTTCTCTCAATATTTCCGGCATATTATAAGTGGGCAAATGAATAGAACCATCTAAGTTCTGTAAGCTAGCTGAATAGCTTCCTTGCATAAAAGAATTTCAAGTCCCAGTGATGAGGAGCAAGTGGTTTGAAGCAAAGAACCTTAACTATTCTCAGTCTCTGCCCCTTTGGTACCTCTTACAATAAAATTGATACTCAGTACCAGGCTGATTTGTCCTTTTATTGATATATCATTTCAGATGAGACACTAAAACATTGCCACATAACATTTTATTTCATAGGAAATTTGCAAACCTATGGTTGCAAACATTTAGATTTCTTCTATCTTTACAGATATTGCGTTACTTTAAGACAATAACAAGAGCGATCAGTGATCACATGTGTCGCCTCATGATGGCCAATTTCATGTTGGGACAAGTTTTGTGACAGACGGACAGACAGACGGACAGTGCACAACTAGACTGGGTACTGATCATTCCTGTAAAGTTTGGATAAAATTGCACCAGTAGTTTATGAGGAGTAGTCTGGCAACACACAGAAAAAAACACCTTTTTATCAAAGGGCCATAACTCAGCCAAAAATCATTCAACCGGAAAACCCGTGCAATATGCCCAAGGACTTGAGCTACAGATCAATCCTGTAAAGTTTCATTGAAATTGCATTAGTGGTATAAGAGAAGTAGTCCGGACAAACTTTAAAAATAAAAATTATTAAGGGGCTATAACTCTGACAAAAATCATTGAACCGGATAATGCTGACAATATGCACAACTAGACTTTGTACTGATCATTCCTGTAAAGTTTGGATGAAATTGCACCAGTAGTTTATGAGGAGTAGTCCGGACAAGCTTTTGTGTATCTGGCAACACACAGAAAAAAAAACACCTTTTTATCAAAGGGCCATAACTCGGCCAAAAATCATTCAACGGGAAAACCCGTGCAATATGCGCAAGGACTTGAGCTACAGATCAATCCTGTAAAGTTTCATAGAAATTGCATTAGTGGTATAAGATAAGTAGTCCGGACAAACTTTACAAATAAAAATTATTAAGGGGCTATAACTCTGACAAAAATCATTGAACCGGATAATGCTGACAATATGCACAACTATACTTGGTACTGATCATTCCTGTAAAGTTTGGATGAAATTGCACCAGTAGTTTATGAGGAGTAGTCCGGACAAGCTTTTGTGTATCTGGCAACACACAGAAAAAAAACACCTTTTTATCAAAGGGCCATAACTCAGCCAAAAATCATTCAACCGGAAAACCCGTGCAATATGCGCAAGGACTTGAGCTACAGATCAATCCTGTAAAGTTTCATAGAAATTGCATTAGTGGTATAAGAGAAGTAGTCCGGACAAACTTTAAAAATAAAAATTATTAAAGGGCCATAACTCTGACAAAAATCATTGAACCGGAAAATGCTGACAATATGCACAACTAGACTTGGTACTGATCATTCCTGTAAAGTTTGGATGAAATTGCACCAGTAGTTTATGAGGAGTAGTCCGGACACGTTTTGTGACGGACGGACAGACAGACGGCCGGACAGACGACGGAGAAGTGATCCCTATATGTCGCCACTACTCCATAGAGGCGACACAAAAAAGAGTTAATTTAGGACAATAAATTCTATTTGTTTTGTTAGGGCAAATCACTAGTTTTTGCAGGTAACCTAAGTGATATACTAGCCAATAAATATCATGGTCTATAGGTATCTTAGCCAATAGGTATCTTGGCGATTAAGTGCACTGGCCAATAAATTTCTTGGCCAGCAGATATCTACCAGCATTCTTGAGTGAGTTTACTCATACATACTTATTTTATCACATATCTACCTCCTTTTTAACATTCATCATTTAAAACAACTTCAGACAGCAAGCAGCATTACAAAATATTGTCTGTCATCAGGCTCAGTAGATAGAATTTAATTGGTTCAGGCTCAGTAGATAGAATTTAATTTGGCATACCATGAAGATCCTGTGCCTTGGAGAGTACATCTTGTATTGTTTACAGCCTTATCCACAACTGTCTTCAAATCTTTAGCATCTAGATCTACTTTCACAGGAACTGTCCTGAAAATGAACTTGAAGTAAAAATACAACTTCCACAATAGACAGCAAAGACTAAAATCAACCTTCTTCTCAAATAAGAGGTTATCTTAATTTACATTTAACCTTAGAGCAAAGAGGTACGATTTAACTGTAGTATTCCTAAACCAGTCTGATTATTATGATTATCATTTATGTCATTCTGACAACCTTAACTGAATTCTTCATTAAAAAAAAACCCCTAATTCACATACACTGACTATACGAACATTTATATTTGCAATTTTCTTTGACAACAAGAGCTGTCAGTAGGACAGCTCGCTTGACTTTTCTTAGTGCTTGATTGTAAAACAAAAGCCTTGATAATCATGTAGAATTTTGTAAGTTTAAAAGGGCCATAACTCCATCAAAATCCATGCCAGAATTAAAGCCATGTCAGATATATGGTCATTGGATAGCAACTTCTCATTGTGCTCTAAATATGTGTGTGAAGTTTCAATCTATTCCCTTCGATATTTTTATAGATAACTTGCATGTATGTTGACACCGACGCCTCCTGAGAACCTCTCCCTATTCTTTGAATAGCCAAACTAAAAACTAAATGTTACTATACAAGAAAAGTTAACCACTTTCCTTTCCCACAATAATGTCTCCACTTACTTTTTCTTGGCGTAGAATATTTTTCCTAGAATACCAGGTAGAAGGCCCATCACACTACTGTCTCCCAGGTATAGATCATAGGCCTTGGCCAACTGTACCTTGCTAGATGGTAGACTATAGTCTGTACGCAGTGCTTTAATTGGAACAATCTGTCAAAGAAAATCTGTTGCTATACATATGGATATGATTTTTTCATATTAAAAGACAAAATTAATATCCAGTTATTATAATTATTGATAGGTGACACAGATATTAAAAGTCTAGGCATTAATAAATCTTCAAACTGTGAGATTTTTCTTGTGTTAAATTATTCAATGAATTTATAAACAATTAAAAGAGTAAAAGCAAAAGCCTTTATATAAGTTTGAATTTGGTCAGAACAATTTCTTTACTATTTGCCATGCAAGTTTTACTGGTATGTGTTGTTTCTAATTTCTCTTTATTCTACATACAAAAATATCTTGTTTTTAGAGATAACTTGTAACAAAAACCACAATTACAATTTTGCATGACTGGTCTTTACTGACAGACGGCCAATATCAATAAATAAATTTTCATTGACAATGAAAGGGATGGCAGTATTTGACTATTGAATTAAAGTATAAGTAAATGTACAATTCTATTAATGTCACATACTTTATTGATTGAATCAATCTTGTGTTTTCTAAAGAGATCTTCGTAATGCTGTACAGTAGCATCATACTCCCTGTTTTTCTTGTTAAGATCCTTTACAAATATACACACTTCTCTCAAATCATAATGTATGGATGTTGGTAATTCCCTGGAAAAACATATATATTACATCTTTGATTATAACATTTAATGACTTGGCTTACATGCACCTTGCTAAAATTTTGTAATGGACTTGTCCTGCTTGAAATTTCAAACTGTCAGAGAATGAATTGGATATAAAAAGTTAAAATTAGACAAATTTAATCTTGAATGTACCATAATATATCAATTCTTGAATGTACCATAATATATTATGTGTAATCATTTTATAATTTCACATATTTTTTTCTATCTATTCTAATTTCTATATACTTTCCAACGATAAATAAATAATGTCTTAACTTGACTATCCATCCTTGAAATACAAAAATACATTTCATATAATAATAACAAAATAAAAATATGACAAATGATTTCTAATTGTTGTTGTATAACACTTATACTCACACTGGAATGTTCTTGTGCTTGATCTTAGGTATCCGTTTTATATTGAACTGCAAGTCAATCTTCTTTGGCAGATCAACAAGACCGATGTCATCTTTAGCTTTCATTAAAGTTAACACTGCATCTACGGCCCCTTCGATCTAAATATATAAGCAGACATGTCTAAATATGATAACATGACTTGCATTTCTAGACCTGTATTAACTTCCTTCCTATATTTCTCATATAACCAGAAAATTTTTTAACTTGAGCAAATGTTAAGGAATGAATTAATTCCGCAAACCCGGCATGTTATTTATTACTTACTTATTTACTTTATTACTTATTCAATGATCATACTAAAGTTAACAGGGATCAGACTTCATATACAAGTAGTCTCAATTTTTCAACTGCATGACCAACGCGATTTTACAAACTGGTAATTCATTATCATAGATGTTCGTCTTTGTGAAGGGCGACTATCGTGTATATAATTTAAAGCCTTGGTGCACAATTTGTTGAGCTACATATGTAGAGATGTAGATCTACATGTACATTGTAATACAATTTTTTAATTCACTCAACCACAGCACTTGAAAACATGTACAAAATGATCAAGTAACATTTAGCTGAGACTCTATGTTTAAACAAAATTTGTCAGTTTGTTTATGTTACTTGCAATTAATCAATGACTTCAAAACGTTTTAAAGTACAGTAATTATTTTTCAATATTTCTGGTTAATAGTGCAATATCCGAATATTATACCAGATTGACACTTTTTCAATGTAAACGTTTATACAGAGACAAATTGTGATATATAACAATATACACCGGTTAGTTAATTATGAATTAGTCAAATTAAACCTGAAAACTGTGAATCAAAACAGTCAGTATCACTTTATTGGCTTACCTTATTTTTTTCCAACATTTTTCACGTGTTTTTGTTTACTTCCGGTGAAGGGATACAATCAACGAACAAGAAATTACATGCACACCGCCAAATAACAACATGGTGGAAACTGTCAAATTTTCGACACGTCAAGAAAGAAAATTTAAGACCGTACATTACCAAAGCAAGATTAAAATGTCTCACTCGTCCGGATTATGTTGATTAAGATACTTCACAAGATGTCGACGTTACACAAGTCTCAGTCTTACTGTGCGCCCAGATCGTCCACAAATGGGAACCAGTTTTCAGTCAACGACTGGATGCAAGCCATCAGAACTCCTACTCCTTATAGAGTAGGCAATGCAAAACTTCACGTGAAGCCCCGTATGCTTGCATATGCCGCTATCATATTTACAGCTGTGTTTATTTTATTTATATATTTTATACCTTCTCGTTCTAGTAGATTTAGTTTGAACTGTAACAATGATTTCATTGGTCAAAAATTCGTAAATAATGTTATGTTTGATTCAACTTATCCATTTACAAGTCCTATCAAAACAACATTAGGAACACAGTATAGAATAGCACTTGTGACAGATTTAGATACGGATTCTAAAAGTACTGAGAATAAAAATACTTGGAAAAGTCACTTGAAATATGGAAATTTGACTATAAATGATAATTATTCAAAGGTTATGATAAATTTTGACAAGACTGTGACATTAACTTCAAAAGTATCAGAGGGTGGAAGAGGAATGGAGCTGTCCGAATTGATTGTTTTCAACGGAAGATTATACACAGTGGATGACAGGACAGGAATTGTATATGAAATTATTGGCAGTCGAGTAGTGCCATGGGTTATACTTAGTGATGGCAATGGAAAAGAGCCAAAAGGTGCATTACATTAACCTTTGACATTGCTCACTATTATTGTTATTAATAATTGTTATTATACTTGATCCACTTGTGTGATTGAAGTTACAGGAGGTTGTAATGTCAGATCAAAAATAAATAATAGAATGCATAGTCTGTTACAAAATGTGGTCAGTCTCTAAATTGAAACTGTATTGAAACTGTGAAAATGGCAGTCATAGAAACAAAATTATAAATAACTTAAAGTTAGTCTTGAAATAACACTGGTTCAAAGCCACTGAATTCAGCATTTAAAGATACTCAAGTTCATCTTGTGTATGAATGTAACTTCTAAAGCACTTTGACAACTTTATCATCCCTATATTCATCCATATTTCATTATTTGGCAATAAAAAAGATGAAGATCTTGATAATAACTTGATTTTTTGGCATTTTTTTAGGTTGAAATATTCCCTAAGATTTAAAGGCATTCACAATTATATACAAAGTCTTGAATTACATGTAGCTATTATAGGAAAACACATAATTTCTCAGTTTTAACATTCACTGTGTGTATTATATGTTAATTAAAAAGAACAGTATTTGATTTTCTATTTAACATTTCCCTCATGCAGGTTTTAAATGTGAATGGGCAACTGTAAAGGATGGAAGATTGTACATTGGCGGACTTGGCAAAGAATGGACAACTGGAGATGGTCAAGTACAGAACACTAACCCACAATGGGTCAAATCTATAGGACCACATGGGGATGTTATGCACCATGACTGGAAGGAAAATTATAATGCCCTTAGAGCTAAGATGAATATGAATCTTCCAGGTATATTTCAATTTTCTGTATAGAATAGAAATATGTACTCAGTTAACCCTACATGTCTTGCTGGAATTAACAGTGATTAGTCTTTGCCACTAGTATAGAGCCAAGCCAGCCTGCATATCGTTGCAGAATGGCCGGGCTCTATACTGTTGCTTACATGATGTACTTACATGTGAACTGATCTTAGAATTTTCATCTTGATTTCCCCAAAATTGATAATGAATAGTTCCAAAAATGGAAGCTGGACAAGTCCATTTAAAAAATTCAACAGGTTATGGGTTAAGATGCTTATACACAAATTGGTACTGATATTGATACTTAGAATTGAAATGCGTATGAAAGTTAATTTTAGATTACAGCAAATTAAGTTTGAATCAGAATGTTTTAGTACTTATACTCACTGAAGCTTAAGCACAATTAAACATTATGAAACAATTGACATACTATTAAAATGAAATAAACCTCAAAGTATTTTATGATATTAAACTTTGTTAAAGTTCTGAAATACAATGGATAAAACTATATTTATTTTAGTATGAAATAATATTTAATATACTACACAAGTCTTAAAGCTAGAATAAAAGTATGCTTGCAGTGGCAAGTAAACATCAGAATTACATATATATGAAAATAAGGGATTAACATTATCAATCACGAGATTTACTCCTTTTACATATAATAGGAGTTAACCTGTTACTACTGCATTAAGGCAACAATATGTTTACATGTTATAATAATTGTTTCAGGATATATGATCCATGAGGCATGTGTATGGAGCTCAATACATCAAAGATGGTTCTTCCTTCCGAGACGCGCTAGCACCGAACGTTATGACGAAGTAGCTGATGAAAAACGTGCCACAAATCTTATGCTCACAGCCAGTGATGACTTTTCAAAAATCGAAGTTTCTACAGTGGGAAAGTTGAACCCGACACATGGGTTCTCATCATTTAAATTCATTCCAGGGAGTAATAATAATATCATAGTAGCATTAAAGTCGGAAGAAGACGGGGATAAAAAAGCAACGTATATTCTAGTGTTTGATATAGAAGGGCATGTAATATACAGTGAAAAGAAAGTCGGTGATATGAAATTCGAAGGGATAGAGTTTGTATGATAACAGTTTTAGAACTAGCTTACTGTAGTAATTTTTTTTATATCTAACATATATTGTATTTTAGGTTTTATGTTAAAAGCAGAGAATTTTATACATGGAAAGTTGTTACTTAAGAGAAGGGAAATCAGTCAATTTGAAAAATGAAGTCACGTCTTTTATTGTAAATATAAGTCTTAGTCTTTCTGATTAATTTCATATCAATAATCATGGTTTTGAATTGGAAGTTTGATAATGCATCCTCTGTTTTAGTTACTCGTTATCCTAAAGTTACATATTGATATTTTGTTTTTTATTATGTGCATATATTTTGTTTGATTCTATGTGTTAATCTGACTGATATTTTTTTGCCTGCACCCCAGTGATTTATTTGCATAAAAAAGGTGGTAGAATACACTGGTAGACCTTTGTTAAAACTGTTGAATTTTAAGTTAAATTTTTATTTTTTTTCTTCAAAAAGCTCAATCTTTAAGGCATACCAGAACATGTATATGTTGTTCTTTTTTTAAGAAACGCCATTTATGTTATTATATATATTTTATCTATATAAAAGGTGAAAACTTTGAAAAGATTGTTAAATTTGGCAAAAAGATTTCTGAAGGGTTACCATTTTAAATTTTCACTGGATTTAAAAGCATCGCTTGTTGCAAAAAAATGAGCTTAAGCTGTGGTGTTTGTGGTATGAAAATATGAAATATGCTATAGCTTCCAGTTTTTTATAGCACAGTATTGTGGATTGCCATGTTATATATTTTAACATATTTGTTAATAATGATATAGCTGAAGAAGTGCCTTGTAATAATGTTTTATTATAATGCATGTTTGTAAGGTCAATTTTCATTGGTCAGTTGTGATGTCCTTATCTTCTGTATATACAGCTTCTGCAAATATATGATATAATTTTTATTTTATTTAATCATAGAAAGAAATTTATCTACGGGGTGCATGTATCTATTCTACTTTTTCTGTTAAACGTCTTGTGAAAATGTGGACAGTATGAAGTGCTGTGTGATAAATTTAATATTTATAAACTTATTTCAAGGACTTTTTGATAAGTTATATGACCTTTGTATAAAAAATGTTTCTTATATTACCATTTCTTTGTCATATAACCTGTCCAAAAAAAATCTTTATAACTACTTGTTATATTCATAATATAAGTCAGTAGTTTTTATGATGGGTCCAAGTTTATGTATGTTTAGTCTTGCATTAAAATGAATTTGTTTTTGGCAGTGTAGAATTTGCTTTACAGTAATTTTTAAGTCCCTATTAATGTATCAGCATTAGATATGATGAATATTTTGTTCCGCTTGTAGCACATTTTGTGGACATACAGTGGGGTTGTCAGTGGCTTGTATTTAAGAATCTAATATATTTGCTACATGTATGTTCAAAGTGAAGTTTTATTGCTTGTTATCATGATCAGATATATATTGATTTAAAGGGGAATAAAGCTACATCTATTGAAATATTACTGTAGCATCTATTAACAGTAAAACTATATTGTTTCTATAATCCTTTGTTCGATTCTTGAATAGAATGTCTCTGTTTTTTTAACATTTCATGAATATTGTATGTTAAAAGAATAAAATGTTCCTGAACAAAATATTATATGCCGGTATTTTTTTCAGTAGTGTTTTAACCGTGTAACAATGATTTTGTGCTTACGCCATTCGCTTTTAGGGCAATAAACTACTATTTTTTTTCATACAAGCATTTTGGAAGTATTCTATTTGAAAATTCAAGCAAATCAGTTTACAAATGTAGTCATGATGATAAATAAGTTAAAAAGCATAATTTGAAAATGAGTCAAGGGTTTTAAATTTATGACACAAATTCATGACAGTTAATATTTTTGTCTTCGCTTCATCCAGCTAGCTTACGGAAGGTCAATGATTCTGTTCGGATGCACATTGGTGCCTTAAATAATACACAAAGTAGCACTTGAGGTCTCTCTCTGCCAGTTAAAAGCTGGAAAAATTGCAATATGACCGAGAAAAAAAAATGTATTTAACATACCATTGAGAACTAAGATTTAGTTGTTAACTCAAGTAAATACCAATAGTTGGTAGAGTTTCTGAAGGGCTCAGGCTTCAACTGATCTCCCTCTGATTTATGTGTTCATGTGAAATGTTGAGATATTTGCATTGTTTAGAACAGCTGTAATTGATAGACTTGTTACTATTGTAAATTGTTACAGTTAATTAATATGCTATTTGTTACAATTAATTAGTATGCTATTTATTTTGTTGTCTTTGTAGTAATTATAAACTATGATAATATGGTATTTGTACTTACATCAAACTAAAATTGAAATCCTGGATATTGTGTCAAAGGGCTCGGGCTGTCATCCAGTGTTAGCGGTATATGTTTGTTGGTATGTTCTTTTTGACTTTGTTAACAAAGTTTATCCAGTAATCAGCAAGGCCTTGTGATAGGATAAGCTTCATATTTGAGGCTTGAAAAGACAACACTTACATATTCTGTTTGTTTTTTATCAGGTGATATTTTTGGACAAGAAGGGGCATAAAGTGGTTGCCTAATTAGAATTCCTGCTATCTATGACTGATTTTGTACACAAATATAATATGTTAATCTCTGGGAGGTTTTATACGTAGCAACACAGTATATGTTGTATTTTTTGTATATGTAAGTTGTTGGTTTTCGAAAGGGACATAACTTTAAATAAGATTTACAACCAACAATTGAGAGCAGTCTCCATATATACATTGAAACTTTACCTAATTTTGACGTGCAAATGATTTGCTGAGAACAGTCTAAATTTGCTTAAGGTTCCGTCCCTTTTGTTTTGTCCCTTGGTTTGTCTGAAAAATTGGAATATTGTATTACACACATAATGTTTGTAATGATGGGGTGGTAGTTTAAGAGTAAGATAAAGTATTCTGAATTGTTTGCTTTGTTATCATCAGTCTGATGATAGTATGATGGCTATCACAGAACACCGAAGTTAAAATTGAATTATTAAGGTATGTTTAACATAATTCTTGTTGTTTTGTTGGGGTTTTTTTCTATTTGTTAACAAATGTACTTACATATACATAGCCTTCTTATGTTGAAATAAGGTAAAATGATATGGTCGCAGTAATTTCAAAATATATTGTGAAGTGAATTTATGCATACAATTTCATGATTTATTTTTAATTTTGTGTGTGTATGCAAATTTGGGAACTTCTTGATATTTTAGAGCAAAACTGACAATTTCTTGATATTTTAGTGCAAAACTAGCAATTTCTTGATATTTTAGTGCAAAACTAGCAATTTCATGATGTTGTCAAAATTTGATGATGTGTTCAAAATTGGCAATTTCATGGATTAGGCAAAAATGGCAATTTCAAGTGCACATATTCACATTGAAGTATTAATTACATTAGGTAGATGAAATTAATCTAGGTAACAAAGTAAATTGCTCAATAACTAAATTAAAATGTCATGTGTTTTAATGATACTTTTATATATTTAGACAGTTTGAATTAAAGAAAAGGGTTGCCGGGTAAATTTATTATACAGATTAATCAGGTTAATGAAGAAGAGAGCAATCCCCAGAATATATGTTATCCATTGAGAAATATTTCATTGTTCCAAGGTCACTAATTATCTTTAACCCATAACCTTCTGTGACCTGTATAAAGGTCTGCCAGCACTGCCCTGCAGGCTGTCCAGTCTCTATACTGTTGGCTGTCCAAATTTTAAATTTCATTATTCTAACGCAATAACAAAATAACTCTTATTAAATTTAGAAGAAATTATTCTGTTACTGCACTAAGGTGACATAATGCAATGTAAAGTTCTTTTTGATATCCCTGAAATTGATGATAGGCAGTGCCAGAAATGTAAGCTGGAAAAGTTCATTTTAGACAGTAATGATTCATTGCTATGTTTTGTTTAGCTTACATATATTAAATGTAATATTTATTATCATTGTTTTAATTGCATGTTAACCCATTACTTCATGAGCATTTTGTGAAAAATGGCTGTTTTCATTAAAAAGTCTCCCGTTACAAGTTCAAATTGCTATAATACTATAAAAACTGCTTCAACACTAATCAAACTTGGCACAAATGTTGACTGAACCATTGCCCTTGCAACAACATGCTCAGGCTTAAATTTTCTGTTACCATGGCAACGAGGGGACATCTCAAAATTGCCAAAAATCACTATTTTGCGTTGATTTTTTCCATCAAAATTGATTTCAAAGTGCTGCAACTTTTCAATGGATTGAGATAGAGTCAAATGCTTTTCAGCGTTGGTTAAACGTTACCTTATGATCAATCTGGGGTCATTTACAGCCTCTCACAAGTCCAAAATTTTCTTGGCGATGAGGGGGGCTCCGCCCCCCTTCAAACCCCCCAAACAGAAGGGGGCACATCCCCCTTCTGGCAACCCCCTGATGTATCTTTTGGTTGGGGGGCCGCGCCGAAAAAGAGGTCACTTTTTTTAACAACATTTCTCAAACAAAAACAAGTGTTTGGGGCCTAAATAAGGCATTTTTCATCATTTAAGACAACAAAAAGGGGGGGGGGGTGATAAAGGCGTTAAAAGGCGTGTATATGAAGTAATGGGTTAATAGAAAATGATGAAAATACTTGAAATTACCCTAAATCGCGTTTTTTCATGTTTGAACATGGCCTGTCATATAAATTTGAAGAAAAATTGTTGTTTTGTAGATTTTTTTATTTTTTTCATTAACCATTACTTCATGAGCATTTTGTGAAAAATGGCTGTTTTTCATTAAAAAGTCTCCCGTTACAAGTTCAAATTGCTATAATACTATAAAAACTGCTTCAACACTAATCAAAACTTGGCACAAATGTTGACTGGACCATTGCCCTTGCAACAACATGCTCAGGCTTAAATTTTCT